CAGTTTCCCTGGATCTGTGCTGGGCAGCTCCGGGGAGCAGCCGCCAGGCCCATCTTCTGGCCCCTCGGGGGTGGCACGGAGGGCCGGGGCTGTGGAGACCCCTCCTCCTGCCTCCATCCTCAGGCCTGAGCTCTCTGACGAATGGAGGGGCTGGCGGGGCGGGGGCTTCCTGTCGGAGAAAGGAGCGAGGTCAATGCCGCTGGGCCTGGGCCAGCCCCCGGGGCCCCGATGCAGCACCCAGGATGCCTCCCCGGGGTCAGCCTCCGTGGCCTCCGCTCCCTGCCTAGGGCTTTGGGGAATGGCAAATGGAAACTGAATCTCTTCGACATAAACACGGAAGAAAGGCAGAGAGGAGGGAGAGAGTGAAAGAAAGGAAGGCGGTGGGGAGGAAGACATCCTACAGTAGAAGCTACCTGCTGCCCAATGAATTCAAAATATATGCGCAGAACAATAGCGAGGCCGTGGGAGCACCGGTCAGCGGAGAGGGGGGCGGGCAGCTCCAGGCCCTCACCGGGCGGGACCCACCCTGGCAGGTCCCAGAGGCCTGCAAGGTGGGCAGGCAGGCTGCCTTCCCAGCCATGAGCGCTGAAGCAGTGTCCCCTGCTGTGGGCAGTGCCTGGGGCCAATTGGACACTCTCAGGCCAGAACTGAGCTGGTCCCTGGCCACAGGCGGCGCCTGCCCGAGTGGCCGGGTCCCCTGGAGTGTGCAGAGCTCACCCAGAGTGCAGGCGGGGCACCTGAGCACCTCGCTGCCCCTCAGACACACCCTGCGCTCACACTCCGCCCCTCACAGGGAGGGCACTCACAGACCAGGCCTCGCACCCGCAGCCGGGAGGGGGGGCACGCACCCTCTGGGCAGAGCGCAGGGAGTGCCCGCGGCAGCGCCGCCCTCTCCTGGGGCCAGACCGCTTCGGAGCTGACCAGTCCTCCAGCGACAGGGAGACCAGGGCAGGCGCCTTCGTCACTGGCCACCGCCACACCCTTAACCAGCTTATTCAGGGACATGACCGCTTTCTCAGCAGAAGATTCGCACCTGCTGCATTCTCCTCCCACAGGAGGCGAGCTCAGGGTCCAGAAATCAGACTTGGGGACGGACAGACGGACAGACACAGCCTCGCCCTCGCCCTTGGCCTGTGCCGCACCTGCAACCAGGGTGGGGGCTGCCCTGCCCACCAGCATCCTGCCTCCCACCCACCCAGCGTCCTGCCTCCCACACACCGTCCTGCCTGCTTCCCACCCAGCGTACAGCCTTCACACGGGGTTTTAGGAAAAGCCTGCTGAGCTGCGGTGTCTGGCAGCCGGGCTACCTGGAGTGAGGACTGCGGGTAGGGGGCGGGCTGCAGCAGAGCCTTCGCAGGCGGGGCTGGGTGGACGGCTTCATGGCGTACAAGTAGTCAAAACACTGAGTGTCCACTGGACCATGAATGATGTGTCAGTTATACCTCAGAGCAGAGGATGCCTCTGGGTGTGGGGGCCGGGCCAGCAGCTGGCATCCTTAGTGTCAGCGTTCATGTTACAGAGGGCGCTGATGTCCAGAGCACGAAGTGAGGCGTGTGACGTCCCTTGCCAAGGAAAGGCGTGTGACGTCCCTCCCCAAGGACAGGCGTGTGACGTCCCTCCCCAAGGACAGGCGTGTGACGTCCCTCCCCAAGGACAGGCGTGTGACGTCCCTCCCCAAGGACAGGCGTGTGACGTCCCTCCCCAAGGACAGGCGTGTGACGTCCCTCCCCAAGGACAGGCGTGTGACGTCCCTCCCCAAGGACAGGCGTGTGACGTCCCTCCCCAAGGACAGGCGTGTGACGTCCCTCCCCAAGGACAGGCGTGTGACGTCCCTCCCCAAGGACAGGCGTGTGACGTCCCTCCCCAAGGACAGGCGTGTGACGTCCCTCCCCAAGGACAGGCGTGTGACGTCCCTCCCCAAGGACAGGCGTGTGACGTCCCTCCCCAAGGACAGGCGTGTGACGTCCCTCCCCAAGGACAGGCGTGTGACGTCCCTCCCCAAGGACAGGCGTGTGACGTCCCTCCCCAAGGACAGGCGTGTGACGTCCCTCCCCAAGGACAGGCGTGTGACGTCCCTCCCCAAGGACAGGCGTGTGACGTCCCTCCCCAAGGACAGGCGTGTGACGTCCCTCCCCAAGGACAGGCGTGTGACGTCCCTACCCAAGGACAGGCGTGCGACATCCCTTCCCAAGGACAGGCGTGTGATGTCCCTTCCCAAGGACAGGCGTGTGACGTCCCTTCCCAAGGAAAGGCGGGCGGACGTCCCTTCCCAAGGACAGGCGTGCCGACGTCCCCGTTCCAAGGACAGGCGTGTGACGTCCCTTCCCAAGGAAAGGCGGGCGGACGTCCCTTCCCAAGGACAGGCGTGCCGACGTCCCCGTTCCAAGGACAGGCGTGTGACGTCCCTTCCCAAGGAAAGGCGGGCGGACGTCCCTTCCCAAGGACAGGCGTGCCGACGTCCCCGTTCCAAGGACAGGCGTGTGACGTCCCTTCCCAAGGAAAGGCGGGCGGACGTCCCTTCCCAAGGACAGGCGTGCCGACGTCCCCGTTCCAAGGACAGGCGTGTGACGTCCCTTCCCAAGGAAAGGCGGGCGGACGTCCCTTCCCAAGGACAGGCGTGCCGACGTCCCCGTTCCAAGGACAGGCGTGTGACGTCCCTTCCCAAGGAAAGGCGGGCGGACGTCCCTTCCCAAGGACAGGCGTGCCGACGTCCCCGTTCCAAGGACAGGCGTGTGACGTCCCTTCCCAAGGAAAGGCGGGCGGACGTCCCTTCCCAAGGACAGGCGTGCCGACGTCCCCGTTCCAAGGACAGGCGTGTGACGTCCCTTCCCAAGGAAAGGCGGGCGGACGTCCCTTCCCAAGGACAGGCGTGCCGACGTCCCCGTTCCAAGGACAGGCGTGTGACGTCCCTTCCCAAGGAAAGGCGGGCGGACGTCCCTTCCCAAGGACAGGCGTGCCGACGTCCCCGTTCCAAGGACAGGCGTGGGCCTTTCAGGTGGAGCCTGGAACCATGATCATCTCATCTTCCCGGACTTTAATGCAAGGGCAGCCATGATGCTGGGCCAGACAGGTAGCCCTGGTGGGGGCGGAGCAGGCCAGGAATAGGTCCTGGTGGGGAACAGCCGAGACCACCCGGATCAGATCAGGAAGCTGAGGGATGCAGCCATGGCCTCACTCAACTAAGGTGGACTTCCCAGCTGCAGCGTTCCCCAGGTCAAAGTGAGCACCAGGGCAGGCCAGGTTGCCCCGCCTCCCTCCACACAGCTCAGGGGGCAGTGGGCTTGGGAAGGGCACTCACATGTGGACATGAGCTCCCACATACACACACCCCTCCACAGCACACGTGTGTGCATGCATACACAGCACCCGAGGGAACCGAGTCCCAGGCAGAGGGAACGGCGTCCCAGGCAGAGGGAAGGGCGTCCCAGGCAGACAGGACGTGAGCTGAGTGACATTTCATTCAGACCGGCAGAGGCAGGTCTGTGTCTCGCATCTGCCCTGCAGTCAGGGCTGCCCCAAGCTCACCCCCTTTATGTCGGAGCCTCTGTTTCTTCAAATGCCATGTGGTGGCCGCCAGAGCCCACCTGGGGCAGGTGGAGAGGCTGCAGGAGGCAGCTGCTCCCGCGCTATGGTCACTATTCTGCACATGGGGATGCGGGGACCTGGGCTCACAGTGGGCTCCTTGCAGCCTCTCCACTCCGAGCTGCAAGGACCCGAGACCCAGGCCTCCTGGTGCGGGTGCGGGTGCAGCCTGGGCAGCTTGAGGAGCCGCTGCGTGAGGAGGGGCTGGTTGTGGTCAGAGACGCGTCAGCCCCGCCCCCCCACCCCTCCCCCTCCCTCCAAGCGGAACTAGGGCCTTGGGCCCCTGTGACTCCCCAGCTGGGGACAACCACTTCCTCTGCGCCTGCCCCACCCAGCTCCGCGAGCTGTCAGACTCCGGAGGCTTGGAGTGGGGGGTCAGGAGCAGGCAGTGGGGTGCTGTGTGCGTGCCTTCTCTCCGGCAAGAACCGCAGAGTCTGAGCACTGGCCTCGCCCTGGCTCACAGCGGGGCTGGCCCCGTGGCCCGACCCCAGAGCCAGCTGCTCGCCGGGCCTGCTGCCCGCTCCACGTCCCCATGTCCGCCACGTCCCCAGTCTGCACACCGTGGGCCCTGGGAGGCCTGCGGCTCACCCTCTTCCCTAGGTACCACCCAGACAAAGCTGCAGGCTCCGGCCCAAGGGTGTGGAGGGCCCAGCCCCAGAACTGTGTGGGGGACCACCCCCACCCCCTTCTGGCTCAGGCCTGGAAGCCCAGCTGGAGTGGGGTCAGCCACTCCTGGGCTCAGATCATCTTTCCTGGAGACGGAGACACCCGACGACCCAGCGCTGTCCCCACTCTCGGCATCCCGCAGGGACCCGCACGCTTGCCTCTGCACAGTGACCCGACTGTCCACTGCAGGCGCAGTGGCCTGGGGGCACAGACACAGCCAGACACCACAGTGCCTCCCTGGCAGCGCCCCGATGCCAGGCGAGCTGGGAGCTGGTCAGTGTTTGAGATGGGACGCTTCTCAGGGGAGCAGTGTGGCCCGGGAGGAGGAAGTCAGCCCCA